GAGGATATACACAGAACAGCAACGAGAGCCTGAATGCGATGATCTGGTCGTTAGCTCCGAAACAAACATTCAGCGGCGCAAAAACCGTCGATATTGCGTCGTATTGTGCTGCGAGCATTTTCAATAAAGGCTACTCCAGTATCCTCAAAATGATGGACGTTATGAACATCAAAATTGGACCAAACGCCTTCAATTTATGCAACACCGTGGACGAGCGCAGAATATCACAAGCAAACGAACGGTCGTTCGACGCTTCAAAAGAAGGGAGAATCGAGAGAAGAACGGCGCGATCGGCACTCGAAGAGGATTTCCTTGAACAAGAAGGTGTACTATATGAAGCAGGAATGGGCGATTAATGGTAAGAAGCTTAAAAATGATTTTTTCATTGAAAAAACTAATGCCGAAACTTTAAACGCGTTTTTCTCGAAACTAAGTTTTTCAATACGGTGTACACGATATCTCGAGTTCTAATGAATGAATCGACTTGAAATTTTAACCACATATTCTCTGGAATAGTGTCTCTCGTCTGACGGAGCATTTTTTTGATATCGTTTTTTGTTTAATTGTTATAAACAATAATAACATCAAATTTGGGCAAAAAAATAGAAAAAAATTTCAAGAATTTTTTTTCGGCGCCAAAATTTTTTATCGACAAAATCCTCCGTCAGACGAGAGTCAATACTATGTAGATGATAACCATATTTTGTTTTTTGTTTCAGATCACCCAGACGTGAGATTTCATGTACACCGTTTGGGCACCTAAAAAAAACGGACCTGCGCTTGAAGGAGTGCCACGACGGCAATTTTGAATATTTCGACTTGAAAATTTTTTTACAAATACTTGAATATATAATAAAGATGACGGTTTAATTTAATTTAATGTACGAGTCATATTTTGTTAGAAAAAAAATCCGGAAAATCGGCCTGTTTTTTCCCTTGTCACAGTAGACTTCCCCCTTAAAGGTGCGATTTCACGCAGCGAATAAAAGCTGGCGTTCACCCCACTCCTTTGACTATAGGTTTGTTCTTTCGACCTGACCTAGGGCTGCACTGGAACTGTACTAGTTGAAGAAAGTTCAAGATAGTGCAGACCAGTGCAAAGATACATATGGGTCTGAAAAGAACGGGTAAGAGCAAGTTAGAGCAGTGTAAGATGGCGGACAACATGGCTGGATTAAATAACATAGATCAATTTATGGTCATGTTTTCGCACTTATAGCATTTTATGTTTTGTTGAACAATCCTATTTCTTTTAAAAACTGTTTTGTGTTGGATACCCATACAACAAATCCCTCCGAAAAAACGTCCAAGAGCCTTCCCAGGATGTCTTTCGGATATTTTGTGCTGTTTGGATAACATTCTAAATACTTCTTTTATGTCATTCTACATTATATATTTATTATATATTTATCTACATTATATATTTATTATATATTTAAGTATTTACTTAAGTATTTACTTACTGTTTATAGATTCCGTCGTCGGATTATTTCTTCTACGTAATGCCAACTAGGTATACCGATTTTACAGGTTATAGATACAAATTTAAATTTTTTCGGTTAGCTGCCCTGCACTGCTTGCTCTACCTCCAGACCTAGGGCAGTCAGTTCACTGAACTCGCTGCACTAGTTCAGCCTGCACTGTTCGAAAGAACACATTTTCTTGCACTGTTCTGATCGAAAGAACGCATTAGTGCAAACTTCGTGAACTAGTGCAGCCTGTTCAGGTCGAAAGAACAAACCTTATATTAACCATGGACTGCTAGCCAGGGCTGCGTTCGAAAACGTCACTCTTCCTTTCTTTTTATCTCACTCTTGTATCTCGCTCACTCCAACATAACGGGTACACTTGGGTGACGTTTCCGAACGCAGCCCAGTGCTGAGAGTTCGCGATATATTTTAGCGCACGCGCATTGAGTAAACTCTGTGGTAGCCTCAGCGCCGTATTTATTTTAAGATATCGTAAGATCCCTCACCTAAAAGAAAATATGAAGGGATTGTAGAGAGAAAAGAAAGTTTGTGGGAAGAAACAGAATGCTGTTCATGAGTAAAAATAAATATATTTTTTATTTTGTAATTTCTGCAGACAACCAACCTTTGAAAATATTCATATTTAACCATGCATACTGGAATTTTCTTCTCGCACATTTCCTCTTCTTTGCCTCCATGTCACTTGATGACAAAGACTGGTGTTAATCCATTTATTTCTTCAATACGGCAGTTTATTCTTTAATTAACTTAATATTATAATTGCACTTTTCTTTATCACAATATCATTTTATATTAAAATTACACTTTTTATCACATTTTATTTATTAATATATACTATATGTACATATTATAATATAACATTTTATATAGCTATACTAATTATTATAACTATATTAATTATACTAATTTATTATTATATCATATCATTACCTATCTAACCTAATCACTCGCGGGCAAACAACACAGATAGACGACCGAATATTTTGTACATTAAACTTATTAATAACTAACATTTTTTGAAAATCAACTACTTGATGCTCACGTTATCCGCTAGGCTACTCTAGCTAACTCTAACTAACTCTACTCGAGCGTCGAAAAGCAGTACTGAATTGTCTTGAACCATAAAGATACTAGATGATTGTGCCTGTTACATTTTTCGATCCTAGTAAAACTAACTCGTACTCGATTTAATGTAAACATCCCTTGAGTTAGAAGAAGTTGTCATAAACTACAAAAGTATTAGATAGTCGTGCCTATCATAATTTTCGGCCCTAGTGCAACTAACTCTAACTCTAGGGTGCGTTCAGATTCCCTACTCGGGTGCACTCTGTTATTAGAAACACTATAGTATATGTTACATATACTATAGCACTTCTTGTACTAAATCTAAACGGGTAAGAAATCTAAACGCAGCTCTAATTGTCGTAAACACTTAGTATTTCTTAGTATGATTAGATGCTTCTACATTATGTTCATTGGAATATGCGATGACAATATGCCATCATATGTACATCATTCATATTTAAGCAATTGTTGTCGTCATGTTGCTGTCAACTTGCTGTCGAGTCATGAAGAATACACGTGAGGACAATTCAACGAACATAATAGGTTTGTTCGAATTGCTTGTACTATTTACACTTTTACATCTAATACCCGTTGCACTCCAAACAACACAAATTTTCAAAAATATATTCTGAAGATGTTTTCAGGATGGAGGGACGTCATCAAAATATTCTTAGAACGTCCTTTGAAAGTGTGAATTGTCTGAAAATAGCTAATATCCAATAAGTTTATTCACATTAATTGAATTTTTTACACTTTCACACTTAGTACACATTAATTCTTTAGAGGTTCTAAAAATGGCGTCATGTTTTCCGTTCGTGTTACGAGTGTAAATGCAATTCTGATATACTTTTCACTCTTGCTTGGGATCAAGTATAAAAAGTGTATCAAAATTGCAATTATATTCGTAACACGAACGGAGCTCATGACGTCATTTTTAGAACCTCTAAAGAATTAATGTGCACTAAGTGTGAAAGTGTAAAAAGTTCAATTAATGCGAATAAACTTATTGGATATTAGCTATTTTCAGACAGCTCATATCTTCAAAGGACGTCTTAAAAATATTCTAATGACATCCCTCCGTCCTAAAAGCGTCTTCAGAACGTATTTTGGAAAATTTGTATTGTATGAGGTGCACTAGTATGCAACGGGCATTAGGTGTAAAAATGTAAATAATACAAGCAACTCGAACAAATCTTATGTGACATATACTATAGTGTTTCTAGTAATAGAGTGCACCCGAATGAGAAATCTGAACGCACCCCGGTCTTACTCCGCATAGTGTAGATCAAGCTTAAGTTTTTTGTGTGTCCCGGGCTGCGTTCCGTTTCACGCATATGCGCGCATTTATCTATAGTTCATGTTACATATATTGTAGGCAATGCGCGCATAATGCGTGAAACGGAACGCAACCCCGGTCTTTACCGCGGATATTGTATGGCAACGCACGTTCTAGTTAGCATATATTTCAAAGTACGAAGTACAAAAAACATTGAAACAACAAAATTAATTTCGATAGTGCCGTTCACAATAATACACAACAAGAACTATTTGAATCGTATGTGTCATACCGTCAGTTAACTACGTAAAATAGTGCAATATCGATTTGTCTGTTGATTTGGACTATGCGATTATAAATTTTTCTGATTTGACGATAAAATGATAGACGAATATTGTCAACGTTATACGTTCACGAACACTATAGATCCCTACATAGAACCGCTTTTAAAGCGCGTCTGTATGCACTCCGAAAGGCTTGGTAAGATCACTATTAATCATAATCGACGATTATTTATTTACATTTTTAACCTTCCTGAACTCACTTTCGGTCTCACAGACCGACGAAACAAAACCGATGGTTTTTCCGAAACCGATATTTTTTGAGGTAACTTCCAAAGACATTATCAAAAATAAAAACTTATTTTCTTTACTATTCTACGTTTTAAAAGATATCCTAAACTATAACAAGAAATCGAAAGCATGTCAAAAACGTACTTTTAATGTTATATTTTAATATAAAAATCGGTCTCACAGATCATGGCTGAGTCTATATGTCAAAAAAGCTAGGGTGAGTTTAGGAAGATTAATGAACTCGGAACACTCATTCTGATATTTTGTATGTTGTCAAGGTATTTCTTATGGTGGGATAAAAATGAATAGGATACCGACAAATAGCAACAGACCCAAGAGTAATTGTTACAAGTTAACGATTCCTTACGCTCATGAAAATCTTTCATGGACTGTATTATTTGATTCACAATATCCTGAGATAGGTCCAGATTTTATATTTAATGATCAGACTTTTTTAATGGACCCAGATATTGATACTTTGTCTACCAAGGTGCCTAGCCTTGTCAAGTGGGATCCAACGAATAGTGATGCGTTACTCAATGTTCTGGTTGAATTATTAATGTATTATAAGGAACATCAGGTAAACCAAAATTCCTATAGCATATAACTTTTACTAAACTATATGCATTATTGAATAAGTTAATTTTTTCTTACTAAGATTAAAGTTAATGTCTTATAAAATCAACTTATTAAAATTAGAAGTTAATTATTGCAAAACAATATATATTATACAGGAAATCCTAGCATAAGAAGACCACCTAAATATTTTCTTTGTTTTTAATGATACAAGGAATTTTTAGAGCATAGTTTGAATAGTTTTAAGAGTGGAATACAATAGAAAGAAAATTTTTTGCAATTATTTTTCAAATTTTTTGAAATACCATTTTAACACTACATTGAAACTTTACTACTTTGTTTATGTTCAAAGTCTTTTCAAGGTCATAACTCAGATATGCTTTAATTCATTCCAACATCTGCTACAAGATGCAATAAAAAAAATAAATGCAATAAAAAATGCTTTCCTACAAAAAAATACCAGAAATCTTCAAAAATTGATCGCAAAAAATTTTTCTGCCTTTTACTATATGATATTCTTCTTTTGGAAGCATTCAAATTATGCTTTAAACATTTCTTATATCATTAAAAACAAAAGAGATATTTAAATATTCTTCTTATGCTAAGACACCCTGTATATACTTATTGTATAGATAACTTTCTAATCGTTTAAATTAAATAGCCTTATAAGATAATACCGACTGCATCTTGCTCAGAATTTCTTATAAAAAAAAGATCACTAATACTCAAAAATACCTAAATATTCTGTTTATATAATAAAACTTATATTAGAGAAGACAATTAGTCAAAATTAATGCATTTTAAAATAATTAGTTTAAGTTGAAATTAATGTCTAAAATTAACTAAATTTAGTTAAAATTATTAAATTTTTAACTTTTTAATTAATTAACTAGTTATGGTCTAATTCTAACTATATATAATAGTCATAATTTTATAAAACCAACAAATGGATCTATAAGAACCAAATACAGGAATTTGTTGTACATAAAAAATTTATATTATAGTAATTTTTACAAATTGTAAAAATTATTGCAAACATTTCAGTCCTCAAATCTTTGCATATTCTTTAGTATAAAATAAATTTTACTTTAAAGATTGGTGATTGGAAGAGGTAAATTTACGAGGTCAGACCAATTACCCCAGATAGCCACCTGTCTATGAAGTTGCCGTCAAGTTGCTGAGAACCGTTGAAGCAACTGTTTTCGAAAAAGTAGTGACAAGGTGTTTCTACATTATGTTCGTCGGATTATGCTCACATGTATTTTTCATGAGTCGACAGCAAGTTAACAGCAACATGACGATAACAATTGCTTAAATATGAATGATGTGTATATGATGGCATATTGTCATCATATGCACATCAATCATATTTAAGCAATTGTTGTCATATTGCTGTCAACTTGCTGTCGACTCATGAAGAATACACGTGAGCACAATTCAACGAACATAATGTAGAAGCACCTAATCATATTAAAAAATATTGAAAAATTATTAGTGATTAAGTATTACCAGTAATTCAGTAATTTTTGGCCAGTGCTTAATTTCTGGTGAATACTAATAATAAAATCATTGTTAAATATTGACAATAATCAAATACTAAGAATTATTGTGCGAAGATGAAAAATGAGAAAATCATAATATTTAAAAAATATATTTATAATTCCTAATTTTCTCATATCTCATTAAACCACTAGGTATCGAAGATTGTCAACACACACTCTAAACTTTCGTGAATCCTCCCTCTCGATAATTTCGATCCCAAGCGGTATATCACCGGTCACCCATCTATGTCCCGACTCCGTTAAAGTGTTGCTTAAACCTGAAGATCGAGCGACACGCGGCGATTTCCAATGATTGCAACAATATTCTTGTAATTTATGCTTATATAATATATCCTTATAGTGTTCATAGTATGTTATAACATACCTTATAGTAAACACCAAATAATAGTCATATAACATATATAAGATTGCCAAATAAAAAATTATTTTTTAAATTCGTACACAGTGTGTTTGTCATTGACAAATTGTTGTAAATATATGAAAATTACTTATCGTTCACACTTTGTCAGCAAAAACATGTAATTTAGAAACTTCAACGATTGAAAGCAAATATAAAGCAAATTGATGAAGGTTCCATTTCTGTTGTTGTTGTCACGTTGCGATCAAAATGCTATTGACGCAAAGACAAGTCATCAGTTCTTGTCATGTTGCCATCATGTTTTTTACAACCTTCCGTGCTATTGTTGCTGATTGTTTGTTCTTAAAATTTCATCAACTGATTACATGTATTACCACTCATGTTGCTGAATTTGATAGCACATCGCTTACGATGATGGCAACCAAATATCAACTATTCAGCAAAACATGCAGTGCACTTGTTTGCTTGATATGCTAAATCACGCTTGGTTATCTGGGACCATTCAGAATGGAAAAACTTCCAACAAATCCATAAAAAATTGAAACTATTATTGCTGGACCATTAGAATATTTCCTGAGAGATTGGCAATCTTAAATAGCATCTAATAAAGTGATAATATAAATGCAATGATAGACACAACAAAGCTCAAAAAGGTTGGAAGAAAAAAGATAAAAAATATAAAAATTGGACCTTAGTCAACCATCAACAAACTTGGAAAGCCAATTGCAATGGTGAAATATATAAAAGTCTTCAGGAGCAACAGGCGATCGATCGAGACTATATGTGAAGCATCGCTAATATATTGTGCGCGTAAGCTTGTCAATATGATTGCAATAAATGAAGTTAAACGATTATGAATTGTAACATATTCAAAATAGGTAAATAATTCTCCAAGAAATTAATAATTTCGTCCAAGAAATCAGTGTCACTCTGTAGGTTCAAACCGTGTTTGAACAAATGTGTAACATTTCAGAGATTATTATCTTTTTATAAATTGGTTCGCAATCTAAATCAACGTCCTCTCAATAAATATAACCATAATCGATACTTGAGTTTAAATAACAATAGACAATTCCTTTGTGGTGTCTCTCCTATGATCTTTAATGCGAGTTATCAACTTGCGACATGTTTGTTCAACATAAGAAGCCTGACAATTAGTATAATTGATTTTGTAAACAATTTTTTTATTATAAGTTTTGCTTAAACTGTTTCTATGAGCTTTAATAAAGATATTTAACTTTTTAAAACAAAAGCAAAGTTTCTGGTCAGTGTGCACAACAATAGACCTGAATTGTCTAGAAATATTCCTTTTACAAGTGAGATTGCGAAAAAATTTGATTTATCCATAGTATTTTCATTTTGTTGAATATTTATGTTAATGTTGTTATTTAATGAGATCAGATAGTCTATTTTTCATAGTATCAAAAATAAATTTTAGTGGATAGCTGTTCTGTAATAAAATCACGTTGATAAAGATTTTTCTCATGATAGGTAGGTAGGTAAGTAGGTAGGTAGTTGTGAAGAAACGCTCCGTCGACCATATTAATAATTATCTCTCGTTTCTAGCTGAGTGATGATAATAATAATTAAAGTGTCTGCTGGAATATGTTGCCTTATGATACCAATCAATGATTAAAAATGATCGTTTTTTATAATCAACATATATAGTTCACATATATAGTCGTGATCGACCGTCCTTTATACTCTCAGACTTTTATATATTTCACCATTGCGATTGGGTTTCCAAGTTTGTTGATGGCCAACCAAAGATTTTTGTATTTTTTTTTCTTCTTTTCTCTAATTCCAGTCTTTTTGAACCTTATTATATCTATCATTGCACTTACATTACCACTTCACCAAATGCTATTTAAGATTACCAACTTCTTGAGCACTCAGAAATGCTCTAATAGTCCAGCATCGATAGTTCCAATTTTCTATGAATTTAGTCAGCCTCTCCATTCTGGATAGCAATCTGTTTGGTCTCGTAGATTTGTTTGTTTCAATCACCAATCTTTTGTAAGGTGGAATTTATTTTATACTAAAGAATTTATACCAAAGAATTTTATTAAAGAAATCTAAACACATGAAAACAGAAATGTTTGTATACGATAATTTTTATAATTTATAAAAAGTAATGTGATATAAATATTTTATACACAACAAATTGACTCTTATAGGCTTATTTGTAATTTTTTACTTTTAATCTTAAAGCCTTCTATATTTTTTTCATAATTCTGCACATTCAAAGAATTATAAGAATTTAATGCTACATGTATATAATCTAAAAGATTGTTATATATTGATTAGATAAAGTTGATTTGATTCATTAGATATAGAATAGAATATTTCTTATTTTCAGATAGAGTCTCTTGCACAACAAGGGGATCGATTGCAATTTGAATATAGCACACTTGTTGGAGAAACGGAATTACATGTGGATGATGTAGAAGTAATATTGTTACCGCTGGGAGGCAAGCCCACAGAAGCAAGATTTTTAATTCGCATATCAATGGATTGTTGTTTACCTCCATGTGTTGATAAATTACATGACAATGAAACGATGCTTCATATTACTTTTTACGGACCAGATTGGAACCGTATCGTACCAAAACTCTTCTTATCCAAAACATTAGAAAAATCTTTTGGTGGACCCGACACATTACATCTTCCACCATTCCTACCAACAAACTATCTCATGGATTATGTTCCAGAAGTGAAAAATTATATTGAGGAGAAGGTACGTTCTTTTTCACTAAACTAGTACGCACTTATGCTTAAAAATAAACAGGCATAGAATTGAAATTTAGTGGAAAAGAGGCAATTAGTGCAGGGAATGCAGCGAAAAAGAACAGACTAGATATGTATTTTTTGTTATTGTGCACGTGTGTGTTTCTTTAATTTTTTATTACAAATACTTTAAAACATGTAAATATTTTAAAATACGACATACATTATGTTAATTGATAAATTTGTGTTTTAGTGATTTCCGGAAGAAATTTACAAAATTCGGGATCAGAACTTTCAGATTTTCATTAATATAGATACTTGTACATGCTCTGTTGCAGATAAACGCCGTAGTTGAGTGTTTTGATAACAGAAAGGATTTTATCGGGGCTATATTAATGACGCAAGGCTCCAGTGTACTGGAATACGACACGAAAGAATTTAAGCAGATTACTATTTTGTTGGAACAACGAGATTTCCACTTCTTAGTATATTTCCACCTTCCTGCAAAATTTCCAAAAGAAAAACCGCATATTACATTGCAGTCGATATATCATTTGACACCGCAAGGAGCTTTGTATGAAGAAATACTAGATGAAATACCATATAGCTGCAGGTGGTCAATGCCTCATATGGTTAAGACCTTTTTGGCGCACATCATGGAAAAAGTGGTTCACAAGTTTCAGAAAAATTCTATCAAAATCAATCGTTATCAATAATTTCTATTTTGAAAGTGTATTTTTATTACAAAATGTATATTTAATAGTTGATCAAAACAAAGATTATATTTGGTTCTAATACAATAAATGATCATTGTGATTGCATTAGTTTTATCGCTTTTTTTTAATTAAAAAATCCATATGTGGATATAATCACGAAATATTACTAATGTCCGTATCACACTTGTTGTCTGCGTTCGCCTTTGCGTCTACGATTTTCTCAAATCAGTCAGGAAGAAACTGCTGAATCAAAAGAATTGTAAACGTAAACTCAGTTGCCGATCATTAGTATAAGAATCATTTGTTTTATAGGATTTAACGAATCAAAAAATTTGGCTTGATAACTTCCTGCTGATACATTTGTCAATAAAAATATGTAAAATCAGTGTAAATAACTACAGAAAGAAATACAGTTTTATACAAATATTTAAGGTCTGTAAGAGAGAGATTATAATAGAGATCTCGCAAAGAACCGCGAAATATTATTGCATATAATTATTGCTCCAGACGCAAATCAACACAAGCATCATTCTGTCTTTGTTCCATACTCTGCATAACAAAGATAGAATGATGTTTGTGATGACTTCCCTGATGGAAATATTTTATCTCAGCCAGAAATGATTCGTCAATCGATGTCGAAACGATGTCAAATCGACGTTGATTTCACGATTTCAATGTCGATTCGACATCGATTGACGAATCATTTCTAGCTAGGTATTGAAATATTTACTGAAAATCTCTCTCAATTGACTCCTTTTCATTAAAATTTATTAAGATTCTTTAAGATTAATTAAAATTTGTTAAAATTTATTAAAAATAGTTGTAAATTATAACATTAATATTTCATTACACTCTAAATGTCCAGATATTTATATCAGATAATTAAAAATGGTCGATAGTGCTATCCCAGATAGCACAGAGAATTGAAAAAGAATTCAATCATATATCACCAATTCTGAGTTAGTTTTTAGATGCAAAAAGAACTCTTCATTGAACTGAACTCTGAAGAATTCTTTTTGCATCTGAACATGAACTCAGAATTGTTGACATACGACTGAATCCTTTTTGAATTCTTTTTTAATTCTCTGTGCTATCTGGGATCTTTCTTCGATTACCACCGGATCCCTCAGAACCCCTTTGCCAGATTGAAAATTTTCCCAATAATACGATGGTATAATAATATCAGGGAGCTTATTACGGTCCTGTGTGATAAGTGAAAATGCGAAAAATAAACGAATTCACTAGGACCCATATTCTGAATCCTCTTTTATCGATAAAAGTGCCTTAAATGTAGCTTCTCAGCCAATCAGGTGGCTCCTAAGCTTCTTTTAGAAGCACTTTTATAGATAAGAGAGGATTCAGAATATGGGACTAGATGTTGACCAATGAAATTATAAATATTCTAGTAAATTCGTTCACTTTTCGCATTTTCGCTTCTCACACAGAACCGTAATAAGCTCCCTGTATCAGTATTAATATTTTCGAGATTGAATTATCATACGGCCGGAAGTCTCTTATTCGAATTCAAATTGCGCGCTCACGCCATGATGGCTGATAGCGACGCACCACGAACTTCCGGCAACACACGCTCGATAGCAAACTGCAATGGCCGTACTTACTCAGACGACCATACGTGATTCGTGAACATCGACTGACAAAAAGTTCCGCAGCAACGTTACATCACCTTGCGATACTTGTGCGAAATAATCCGCTAGTTACCTGTTCTCAATCGCTTGCATGATAATCATCGATTGTTGCGCTGATACGCACGTCAGTATATCGTTGTGCTACGTCCTGCAGTCATCGGCTCGCGGACAACCATCTCTGCAAATACAATGGCCGATGTGGAAGGAAAAAAGCTGATCGAGCTGCGGGTTATAGACCTCAAGACCGAATTGGAGCGTCGTGGCTTGGACAAGTCCGGCAACAAAGCCTTGCTCTTGGAACGGCTGTCGAAAGTAAGAGATTCATTTTCTCTTGCTGAGTATCGCGCTCTTCCGAACTCAAAACTTGCTAATCACTCTCTATATCTCTGTCTCTCTGTCTCTCTCTTCTCGAGGCCGACTCACTGTTTGTCGCCATGTTAACCCTATTGATTTAACGTGTAACGATATTCTGTATTGTATCCGAGATATTTGTTAGCATCTGAGCCATGATGTAATATTATCAGGAGATAATAACAAAAAGGATGAACCAACAAATTTACGTGGTTCTATTCCAATTATTCAAAACGTTGAATTTGTGTACCAATTCTTGATACTGCATTTGTACGCAATATTTTTCGATAGTAAGCTGGTTTTTTCTTTATTGCTTAATGTGTCTTTAGCATGTTGTCTAGTTTTGGCTACTTTTGTAATAAGCTTTTGTAATACTTTTGTAATAAGCTTATCTCACTTTCCTGATAAGGAAGATCTTTCTTGTTTTTTCCAGATGGATGGAAAAAGTGCTGTACAGAAACTTCGTTCCTTCTCCTCTCAATAATTAAGTTATATATCTCATTTTAGATCTGTCCTTTTCAACTAAATTATATTTTTTTTAACTAGATTATATTTTTTGCCTCTAAAGTAAAATAAACATAATCTAATGTTGAAGGAAGAAGCAACAAAGTTTCAGTGCAGCACTAATCAGGGCCTTAGTTATGAGTATTTTCACATGAGCTTATTTTTTTTATCAATCATGCAATTTTTCTCCATAATATAAAACTATGAAAAGTAAATATTTCCTGTTTATATTTTCAAATTGTTTTTTTTCACATCTTTACGCCAAGGAGAAAGATTCATAATTAATTCACCAACTGAAAAAAACAGAGTATCGATCATGCAATATTTTCCCTCACGTGGACAAAAAGTAAAGTTTTATTGCAATGAAACTTTTTACAAGGGAGAAAATTTATGATCAATATCCTGAAAATAGATCTTTGAATCTGCTCTTCTACATAAATTCATGAAAAATAAAAATTTACTAACCTGCAAACATATGGAAGTGTTTATTTTTCACAAGTTCATACTGAAGTATGAAAAGATTCATGATCACCTATTGATCAAGTATTTTTTCTTTTACATGAAAAATAAAAAGCTTAATTGAGGTCAAATTTTTCACTTTACATATTCCTTTTTATTTTTTTCATTTTTTTTCATTCCTTTTTTACTTTTCATATTATACCTGCTGTCTGGTTATTAGCCAGCTTATGTATCGTACAACTTGGTAAAAATTACAAAAGTGAGTGGATTTGTTAGAAGATTTACAATGGATACATGCAATACTAAAATTACTCACTAAGTACACAATAAATGGTTGTAGTACTATTTTCATTAGTCAACACCTTGTAAATTTGCTCACTGTTGCAATTTTCACTATACTACATTAAAGTATAATTGATTCTCTACTAGGAACTAAGTTACATTTTCTGCTTTCAAAATAGATCACAGAATCGATCATGATTTTTTTCTTCTAGTAAACTTGTGAAAAGTAAAAATTTTAAAGTATTTGGAAATATGAACTTTTCATGAATTCGTACTAAAACAAAAGATTCATGACCATCTTTTAGAGTATCGATCGTATATCTTTTTTCCACGCGAAAACGTGAAAACGTGAAAAGTTTCAATTAATTCGTTACTAGAACTTTCCACTTTTCACGAGTACATACGGGGAAAAAGATACATTGGATGCATCCAATACTACAACTGTTCAGTAAGCTCTTGCATCTGATTCGTGTATATTTTTAGATCTAAAGAAATATGCCAATCAGATGCAAGAGCTCACTGAGCTCTCAATGAATGGTTGTAGTACTGGATACACCCATTAGATTCGTTCGCGTTGCTTACACTCTCTGCCCTAAGTATATAATGACCAAAGAAAAAACATTAATTATTGAACAATTTGAACAATTTGAACGCTTAATAATAATGATATCTATCTTTTTTTTAATGACGTCAAAAGCGAGAAAATACATGCTAAAAATTCTTGTAAAATATATTAAAATAAAAATATATATCCATAAAATAACATTTATAATCGATTAAACCAATTTGCAAAATATTCCGCGCGCTATTTGTAAGATATTTATAAGATATTAATAATTTATTATAAATTAACCTGAATAGAAATAAGCGGAGAAATGGGTTAAGAAGATAAATTGTCACGTTAATTTACGATAAATTATTGATCGTTAGAATAAAATGGAAGTGCACGGAATATCTTACAAATTTGTTTAATCGATCGTAAGTGTTACTTTATGGATATATATTTTTATTTTAACGTATTTCACAAGAATTTTTAGCATGCATTTTCTCGATTCTGAAGTCATTAAAAGGAGATGGACAATGCGAGGGGCCAGGAGCCTTAAGTGCGGGTTAATTCGAAATAAAATGAAAATAAATGTAACGATTTAATTGTAATTGTTAGATTCTCCTGATGATGAAAAATTTCTTCTTATTATTACTACTATTTTGATATAAAAGACAATATTATAAGTATGTAAGTAATATAAATTTTACTGTTTATTAATATAATTAAGTTATATTTGCATTTTACCTAATGAAATATATAATATGTATTTTATATTATCTTCAATTATACATTTTAATTATACACATACTCTTTATTATCAATAATTGCATTTTCCAAATTGTTGTAAATTACGAAATCATATTTTTTTTTATGCTATTAGAGGAGAATATATTGGTATTATAGCCCGTATAGGTATATTGACTCTTAATATCTCCACTATTAAGTAGTGGATTCTAGAAGTGACTTATATAATTATTAGTTTAGTAGGCCGCTGTTACACACTAGTGCTAATATGTTAATAGACAACAGATAGAATTAGTTGCAACACATTTTCATTTCGGAGCATTTCGGAACATTCTCAAAGCACATTTTAATATTTGATTATATATACTTCCTCATGCTTCTTAAGGCTCCTTGTACCTCGTCGGCCATGTCGGATTTGTGACGTTAGAAGCGAGGAACGACATGCTGACGAAAGTTGCGTGCCATTTCTGAATAAAAATAAATATAGACGAAAGAGTATTTGAGATTGCTCGAGCACTGAAATTGTCCGTAAGTTATCCCTTTTTCTTGATGATCAATAAATAATTGTATAATAAATGGTAAAATAAGACACATAAAATTATGAAATAAGTCTGTTTTATCTGCATGCTTCGTTTCACCATTTATTATATGACTATTTACTAATCGCTAAGAAAAAGGGATAGTTTCCAGAAAATTTTACAAGTGTACTCAAGCGATCTCAAGTGCTCTTTCGTCTATATTTATCTTTATTTAGAAATGGAATGCAACTTTTGTCAGTTTTTGACGAAAGCTTCTGTCATTTCTCGCTTCTGACGTTACAAATCCGCGACGAGGTATAATAAGTCTTAAACTTGGATATATTATCATACAAATAAATGTACATTTCAGTGTATTTTGTTTGTTATTCAACATTTTATTCGACTGTACATACTTCAAATTAAGCAATGTTGAATAATAACATGACATTTTGCTGATATCCTCTAAACGTGCTGATGGATAAGCTTCTGAAAATGTCCGACGTCCAGCTGCCACAAATTTTGACAAAAATATTCGAAATAATATCAAATTAAACTTCTTCATAATATTTATCTCTCAACATTGTTCGAAAATCGTCTTTAAATCAACAAATAAAACATAAATCTTTCTAAATTATAGAAAGCTCCTTTGAATAACTAACAGTAAGATTTGAAAAGGCAAATAAGGAGCAAGCACAGATGTCTTAGTGCTATTAAATACTATCCCACTATCATATTAATATTAAAGTAATATTAGTATTTAATAGCACTAAGATATCCGTGCTTGCTCCTTATTTGCTTTTTCAAATCTTACTGTTATAAATCTTTCTTTCTAATTAAATAAATATACGATTTTTTATAACTTTACTACTAGCAAAGTAGTATAATATGAATAGCGATTTATAATTTTATTTAAACATTTTTGGCATTAAATATTGTTATCAGTGAAAATCTAATTGAAAACATTTATTTAACATTATTTTGAATATTTTTGCCAAAATTCGTGACAATCGGATATTAAAAGTTCATCCTATTAATATATATTTTTTATATTTGTATATAGGGTAGTCCATTTTAACCCATTCAGCCGAATATTTCGAAAACTAAAACTGGCAGACAAAAATGTTTCAGACAAAAGTTATATGGATCGATGGGGGACACAAGAAGATACTATTTGACCTTGCGTGGGCCCACCAAGGTCAGGTCAAGGTAAACTTTACTTTTTTAAGTAGAAACATACATTTTTTATTACGGAATTTTATTCTACGTAAAGAAACAAACAACTTTTGTTTGAAAACATTTTTTATCCGACTTTTATTTTCTAAGATATTTACGCAAATATCTACAAAATTATTGGTTTCAATAATTTTTTACTCGAATTCTGTTAACTTTACCGAAAAATAGCAAGAGATAAAAATTGTCTATTTTCTTTTCATAGAGCTCTGAATTTTTTTCAGAATTTTTTAATTAACTTTTTAGTACTTCAAAAAAAATGCAAGGAAATACAGTATTAAAAAGTAAATTAAAAAATTCTGAAAAAATCTCAGAGTTTTATGAAAAGAAAATAAACAATTTTTATCTCTTGCTATTTTTTGGTAAAATTAATAGAATTCGAGTAAAAAATTATTGAAACTAATAATCTTGTAGATATTTCCGTAAATATCTTAGAAAATAAAAGTCGGATAAAAAATGTTTTTAAACAAAAGTTGTTTGCTTCTTTACGTAGAATAAAATTCCGTAATAAAAAAATGTATGTTTCTATTTAGAAAAGCAAAGTTGACTTCGACCTGACCTTGGCGGGACTACGCAAGGTCAAACCAATGGTACCTTCTTATGTCCCCCATCGATCCATATAACTTCTGTCTAAAATATATATATATATATATATATATATATATATATATATATATATATATATTGCGTAAAAAATATACAAATAATCCGTAAAAAAACATAATCTTGAAGTCTATGGCAACCTTTACTAAGTCTACAACTTAGTGAAAGTGCAACCTAATCTAGTTAAAAAGAACAGATTTTAAGATTAGAGTACTATACAGTAACCATCTTTCACGCCAAATCTGTTTAGAGGGAATTAATTTATATTTTAAATAGTAATATTTAGAATATTAATTAATATATTAATATTCTAAATAGTAATCGTGGGAGGTAAAGAATCAATGTGAAAAGTGATCAGCGTATAGTCATTTGCATAAATGGTACAACACTTTTTTATAACAAGTTTATACAATACACTTCTACCTTAAATTACTTTTGCATATCTTGTATTAAAAAAAAAATTGGCAATTAAATTCACATCTTTATAAACTTGTTCAACAAAAAATGTCGTAACCTTTGTGTAAATGACCATACAGTACCTCATGTACGTTGAAAGTTTGCAAAATCCGGCACGTACGTCGAATATATTTATCTTCCCGCCAAAGATTGAAAATTAAAGATTTATATTTTAATTAAAATGCCTGCTCTCTCTCTGTGTTTGTAAGTTAAAAGCTTAATGCAACAATTATTTACAGGTAATATTGGATGAAGGAGAAAATCCCGATGAATGTCTTATTATACCGTCTGGTGGGATATCTAAAACCGCCTCAAGAAAAAACAGTGGTACACATGCATTTTCAAATAATTATTAATATTATTATTACAATATTTTCTATAATATTAAATATATTAACATTGTGTGCAAATTTGCATTTAATCGGATAAATTGAAAAACGTCCGATTTAAATTTTCAAATTTTACTTTACTTACAGCAGCTGTGGTTCAAGAAGAACCCACTGAGTGCGCAGAGAGTCACAAGGAAGAGAATGTTGATGGGCAAGATAATACAGATAAATCTAAGGGAGAAACAAAGGCTGTAGCGGAAGAAAGTAGTGAAATCTTTAAGAAAGAGGTAAACCACATATTGATGTAACATTAAACATTTTGGCGATGTGTTTTAATTGAAAACAAATGAGAGACATTCTCTCTTTCATATCTTGCTTCTCTCAGGAATCGCAGTCCGAAGTCAAGATTAATTCTATTAAAGAGGAGACTATTAAACAGGAATCTAAAATACAGGGAACCAAAACTACAGGCGAAAGTATACAGAGTAATGAGAAGAAGAGTGATTTGGAGAAGACAAGTGCCTCGAATCAGTCTTCAAATGCGACACCGGCAACCGTTGAAGCTAATGGAATTGATAATGAGGATTCTATCAACTTAACTATTGGAGAAGATGAAGAAAATCTCCTGGTTGAGGAGGTATGAATTAGGGAGAAGGGAAGAAGGAAATCAATGAGTTAATAATCCTCAAAGCTTTATGAAGTGAATTAAGAGTGATCTTTCCTTGTACTCTCTCGAAACAATTCTTTTTTTTAAACATTCTTTCTCTCATTGCAGACAGAATCTCATGATCGGCACAAGGGTAAGTTCTGCAGCACTTATTATCTTCTAACTTAGACGTAAGACTCCATTAAGATATTAAGAATAGCGATAGCATTTGTATCTACGGTTTCGGAGTAAGTAACGGAAGCACCAGCATCAAGAGTAAGCATGTTCAAGTACAAACGTACTAGCGCGCAACCGCAACTGGAACAAGGGTAACGTAGGCAATCGTCGCATACATACAGCAGCCAACGGTTCCTCCTCGCTCTACGTCTGGCCCGCAAGTCATCCTCATCATCGTGAACTTCATCACAACGTCTCGATGCTACACAACCAGCCACGTAGACGTGGCGTTATGATGATTGTTGAAATGCACGTCGGCAACCGATAAGTTTACGATTGGGATAAACGCATGGTGATCGATAACGGGTTCAAGCAGGAGAAGCCTCCCGACATCTCTGCACTGCTACTTGCTGCCAGCCTATATTGCATAAAAGAGTCGACAAACTATATCCCATAAGCGTCTAGTCTTTAAGTTAGTTAACGCTAGAATTTGATATAAAATAATTAATCATACCTACCGCATAGAGCATCGCTGGATTCTCTTATCGCCAAGTCACACGGAGAGACTCAAGAGGACTCAAGTATGAACACCAAAAGCCACAAATATTTCTCGCAAAAAAAAAATAGAGATCAGCACCACGTGTGACGTTGCCTCGACGCGTGCGAAACGAAAAAAAAAAGTACCAGTACCTTCGGAAACTTGTGCCTCGGACTTAGTGCCCGATTTAGCAAACGGAATTACTGTCGCGCGATACCCGCGATATGTCGCACACATTCGACCACATTTTTCGTTTGCGCGCGCGCGTGCATTATATTGTTGCAGGAGTCGCTTTATTGGCAATGGAGCGATATGCGGATATTCCCGGCAAAGCGATAAACACACGCCCGTGCGTCTTCGCTGCGCTACACAACGCTCTCCGCGCGTCCTCCTTTCTAATTTCTCTCCCCTTGGCTCAACTTATTCAATCGGAGTTTCGCGCATACGGAGGTACGCAGGTAGCTTTGCGCGCGTATACAAAAAAAAAGTATAAAGCGACCGAAAACAAAAAAAAAAAGAAAGGTTTAGGTTCCCTACAGAACCATGCCATGTCGAAGACTGTGTGTGTGTGTGCGCGCGCGCTTGTAAATCGTGCAAGCTGCATCCATTGCTCGCTGTGCGAATTTATTAGTGACTTGGGCGAAATTCCTGACTGGAAGTACAAGCCACTAAACAGGAGTTTTAGGGAGGGAGAAGAGTCTGGCTTCACAGAGAGTGACTATGCTACCTTGATTGTCTCTGCAGATGGTGGAGAGAAGAAGAAAATGGAAGAGAACAGCAAAAAGGGAGACTCTAAAGGAAGCAGCGGTAGAGCAGAAGCTGGCGCCAGCGGCAAGGAAGGGACTACATCTGGTGCGAACGTTGGGATGAAGAGCAAGCAGGACGGTGGAGATGGAAGCAAGAGGTTGGTCTCTCATAGAGCTAAGAAAACGGTTCTCATTGTGGTACAGCGAACTGGATATGTCGCACGACTCTGCTAGTGATGTTCTACTGCTGCATACCGTATCGTCGGGATCTCTCTCGCTCTCTGTACCGTCGGACAAATGGGATTTCCAAGATGAGAAATCGCTCGTCACACGCAAGATCGTTTTATTCCCTTTTTTTAGAAAAATTGAAATTACGTCTCTCAGACGTACTCTTCTACTCGTGTGCATAGGCTGTAATTCTTAACTCTGGGAAGTATGTTAAGAAGTCGAGAAATTGGCTAGCGAACTTACGAATCTCAAATGTCGTGTTTGCAATTCTCACCCGCACATATACATATATTTAGTAAAGGTGATTGTACGTACTCTACCGAGAGAGTAGACACACACGCATAAGCAGATGAGTTCCCGTGTGCTGTGTTCCCTATACGACGAGGACGTTCGTTTCAAAATAAAAAAAAAAAAAGACAGCAGTTTCGCCGTGTGCGTCGTGTTACACACAAGGACATTAGTATCTTACGGTAAATCTTGTATATCGGCAGAGCGTATTCAAATCCTCGTATGTCAAGAAGCGATCCTTACTTATTGAAGATGCTGCTACCCTCTTACTCCCTAAAAAAAACGTGTATGCGTTTAAAAACCTATCCCGGCTAAGATGAGAAGTGCCCTCTCAGAAGAACTATGCAGCCGATGCCCCCTTCGTGGATACTTAAAGCGATAAGTGCAAACCTTGCCGCATGGACATGATTCCCTAACGAACCAGTGATGCAAATGGATGAGCAGAACTCAGTGAATATACATCCAGTAATCTAAGTCAAAAAACTGATAACATACGATGGTGTACGAGTGACAAAGAAACCCAGAAAGTATCTTAAGTTGTCGTTACTGCTTAAAAATAAGTTGCTAGCCAAATTTAATGTGCTTAACATAGTTACAGAGGTACTTATTAAGCCTCATAGATTATAATCCTTAATTCGTTACTTTAAATTGTAATCTGCCTACCAAGCTCTTTTATTTGTGTACTGCAATAATAATGTAATTCCTTTCAGTGTGGACTCTAACAACAAAAATCAGAAGAGAGAAGAGAGAGGTGAGCCTTTGCGTTTCGATTTTGCGTTATTTCCTTGTCAACGATTCGATTTTACAGATTTGCAAATGTCTTACAGTTCACACCACTATACACTTCGTGGAGAAAAAGATGCCGATCAATGCGACCAATGCAAGTAGCCGTAATCTGTGGGTCTCAGGTTTGTCGTCGAGTACTCGTGCCACTGACTTGAAGCAGATATTCTCGAAGTATGGCAAAGTCATTGGTGCAAAAGTAGTTACTAACGCAAGAACTCCGGGAGCAAGATGTTACGGCTATGTAACGATGTCCACGAGCGAAGACGCGACGAAGTGTATACAGCATTTACACAGGACAGAGCTTCACGGACGCGTCATATCTGTCGAGAAGGTAACTTTCGACTTGTCTCTAGCAGTACGCGGTACACGAGCTTGACTTTTATTATAAATTGTGTCGCAGGCAAAAGGAGATACTCAGCAAAGCCACGTACGTAAGCGAGATACTGTCAACGGCAAATCAGAGAAAAAGGAAGAGAAGGAGAAGCTGAAAGATCATGATGCAAACGAGAGAAAGGAGAAGGAGATTAAGAAGGAAGTAGAAGAGAAAGGATCAGATACTGGTAAGTACTACTCCTTTACGACAATAATCAATTATCGCGGGGAAAACTAACAATCGACTAATAAAAGAGGTGCAGGTGTACACTCTGGCTAGAATTTGAAAGTAACGCTGTTATTGTCACAAATTACTTTTTTCAATAACTTGATAACGTTATTTTTTTCATTATTAATAAGATAAAGGCTAAACTAATTAATTTAATATATTATATTAAATTATTATTTAATGTATTATTGATTTATATAAATTCTTTATTTTGTCGAGAAGAATACGCCCTGCAAATTTGTTCAAGTATTTCATAAACAATACGTTTCTAAATTTAATCGTAAAAATACAGAAATATTTTTTACAATTTTCGTTAGCAGAGCAAACTCACGTGTACATATAAACTGCAGAACTTTTGTATCAATTAAATATTTACACCGACAGTTCGAGATGTCAATTTTAAAATGTTTTATCATTTTTGTCACATATTGAACAATATTTCAATTCATTGTTGCACGTACTTTTAGTTTGTAAAAGCATTTGTAATTCTATGCAACCATTACGAGATGTAAACTGCAAAAAAAGTTAATGTTTCATCGGTAAAGTTTTCAAGTATGACAATCCAAATTAAGCCATCGTTTCGCTGCGTTTAACAGAAAAAACAGCTTAGTAAGCGCTTTCCGTTGGTAGCGACTTTGTAACTATTGTAAAATTTTCTTCTGAACGACACTAGCGATTTGCGCTTTTCCAAGATGCTAAGTGGTCATCATTTTTTCCAGCATTTTTTCAATATATGTATATATTAGACCGTTTAATAAATATATTGGAGAGAAAAGCGAGAGAGAGAGAGAGAGAGAGAGATCACTAAGTATCGTTCAACAGAAAATTTTACAAACAGTCGCAAAACTGCTAGTAGTGTAGTGCAAAGCGCTTTTTTTTTTTGCTAAATGTAACCATTTACTGCGTTCAGCAAAAAAAGTTTGCAACTGTTATCAAATTCATGAATCTAATTGGTACATGCTCTTAGATTTATCCAAGAATAAGCATAAACCAATCAGACTTACGAATTTTGCAACAGTTGCAACAGTAATTTTCTCTGCTGAACACAGATTTATTATTATTATTTATTTATTATTATTATCAAATTTTCGGCAGGCATCTAGATTGCTATGAACGTATCCGTTTGGCAGTCTTTTCCTTACGAATTTAGATTCGGATCTGGATCCGGTGCTTCAACTGTTTGGCTATTCTGGAAATTCAAATTCTAATGTTGTTTTTCCGTAAGAGCTAAAAGGTTATTACAGAAAACAGTATATTGATTGGCCGTCGCGCGAACTTCCGCCGCGCGGCAAGCATTACCGCGTCCTGTGTGCAGGAGCCATTAGATAACTTGAAGTATTCTAATGTTTAGAGAATTAGCAGAAGCGTATTCTAAAAAAAAAAAGAAATAAAATTGGTAACAAAATAATAAAAATTATAATGATTCGTTGAATAACGATTACTCTTCAGTGGATAATGAGTAACTGTAACGCGTTATTTTTTAAAAGAAATTTTCCAAGGACTGCAAGGACTCTAACATGTTATCTTCCAAAAGAAATTTTCCTAACTTAACCTTAACCTAACCCAATCTGTTTCAGGTTGGGATATTTTTTACTTCCGGTTTATATACTGCAACGTGTAGACACGTGTTTAGACACGATCAATGATTTTTTGGAAAATACCTTAGAATTATTTCCGAGGAAAATAGAGATTTGATCTGAAGAAGAGGACAGTATGCTAAATAGCCATAAATATCCTCGAGGAAAACTGAAAGCACGATGACTTAGTCGCCAATCAGAAAATATAAAAATAATACTTTTTATAGCATCAATTTTTATTGATGGGGCTCTGTTGACGCGTGTTGACTACACACATTGATTATTGATTAATGAAATACTTATGAACTTCACAAATATTCATGTTTCTATCTTTTATTAACTTTACGCACCACAATATCTTATTTGTCAGTTCTATTCCCTTTATAACTCTTCGTTGTCTAATGTGGAAGTTATTTCGTTTGTTTAGTGAAAAAATCTGATGACAAGAGCGAGAGTACCGAGTCGAAGAAAATGGAAGTGCAAGATAAAAAGGAAGATCCGTGCAAAGAGTCTGATTCTCGCTCGACGAAATCCACCAGCAAGAAGCCGGAGAGCGAGAGAGGTAGACGAGAGGAGAAACGAATTCGCACCTGGGACAGAGATCATCGATCTCACAGCCGATCGAGGAGTCGCGAGAGACGGAGACGCGATGACGTTCTCACATTCGCGAAGATTCGGGTAAACGTCTTTAGTCAATATATTAATAAGCCGAATAACTGCGGCGCACGATCAACAGCGGGGAAGAAGAATTGCGGGAAGTAACAAACGAAACTCTAATAAATCCTTAGGAGGAACGCGAACGGCAGAGGTTACGCGAAAGGGAACGGATGTTACGGGAAGAAGAGCGTAGAAGAAGAGAGGACATGGAGCGCCAGCGAGAGATAGAGCGCAGACAGCGGGAGGAGGCGGCGCGATTGGAGAGAGAACGGGAGAAGCTGAGACGCGAGAGAGAACGGATCGAGCAGGAGAAGGCCGAGCTGCTGCGACTCGAACGAGAACGGCAGAAACTCGAGAGAGAGAAGCTCGAGCGCGAAAGGATGGAGCTGAAGAGGCAGCAGATGCGCTTGGAGGAAAGCAGACGTGCGCCACCGCCGCCTTCTATAAAGAGAACGTCCAGTGACAGGAGAGATCCTCGGGATTTGTACGTGGAGCCTGACAGAAAACGGATCACGACGGAGCATAGTCGCAGGCACAGTCCAGACAGAGTGTCCGACAGGCGAAATGAGATGCTGGATCGCGTGACAGACAGACGGTTGGACCCATCACCGCCCCCTTCGCGATACGAGTCCAGCAGGTGATATTGCCTGTCTTTTTCATCAATTAAGACTCCTGGCCCCTCGCATTGTCTATCTCTTTTTAATGATGTCAGAAGCGAGAAGATACATGCTAAAAATTTTTGCAAAATACGTTAAAATAAAAATATATATCCATAAAATTGCAATCGATTAAGCAAACTTGTAAGATCTTCTGTGCACTCCTCTTTTGTTCTAACAGTCAGTAATTTGTCATAAATTATCGTGACATACAAATCTTTTTAACCTATTTTTTCATCTATTTCTACTCAAGTGAATTTATAATAAATTATTGATTATTAGAGCAAAAAGGGAGTGCACAGAATATCTTACAAATTTGTTTAATCGATTGCAAGTATAATCGAAGTAAGTTTAATCGATTACTTTATGGATATATATTTTTATTTCAATGTATTTCGCAAGGATTTTTAGCATGCATCTTCTCGCTTCTGACGTCATTAAAAAAAGATAGACAGTGCGAGGGGCCACGAGCCTTAAGGTTCCTAATCCGTTGTCGCGGTTATCTTAATTTTTGCGAGACAGCGCACATTCAACATTCTTGCAAAATATGTTGCAATCAAGTGATATGTTTACAGAATGACACTTGTAATCGATAGAGCGGCTCTGTAAAATAGTCCGGACACGGTTTCTTTTGTTCTGACAATCAATAAGAATCGTAAAATTAACGTGACAGAATCATGAGAAAAGATAAAGTTAATTTAATGACTTAAAGTAAAGGAGAAATAAACATATTTTAAGCCAGTAAGAGCCGAGCTCTGATGTTGGAGTGAATATTTGCTAAATGTTAAAAGAATTTAATTGAATAAAAAAAGCCTAATCACGAGATAATATATAAAATGAGTAATTAATATTAAAAATTGAGATTCAGGGTCATAGTTTGACGTGGAAGGTTTGATTCATCGCGTACGTTATAAAGACTGGACAACCTATTCGTGTGCGTTAATACTGCCGAATATTATTATCCTTCCAGTATTTAACAAAATATTCGCTCCAACATCAAAACTTGATTCTAAACTAAAATATGATTTGATTATCAATACATGTACTTCGAGAGCTTTTGTATAGAACTGTTTCAAAAGGGAAGTATTCTAACTACTTTCCAGATTGAGTAATTGCAAGTGTCATATTTCGTAAACATATTTTATTAAAATATGTTTTGCAAGAATTTCAAGCATGATTTTTTCGTTTGTGACGTCATCAATCAAAGGTTTGCGACGAATGACCAGGAGCCTTTATCACTAGATACGAGCATTTCAGAACTTTCTTTGATGTCTCTTCTACTGCTTCATATTTATGCGACGCTAATGTAAACGGATATGCTTCAGATCTGCTCAGGATCTGGGACTGAAGAAAGAATTCAAGCGAAGCACTGAATTCTCGTCAAGAAGTAGCCGGCCGGAAAGCTTCTCCGATGTTTCCCGTGGCAGGGAAGTTATCGTACGTCGAGAAAGTCTGTCCACCACGTCCTCGTCCATCGATCCGCGACAGGTGAAGGAAAGGTGCGTATCGCAAAGTCGCTTGGAATTTACAGCGATCCTCTTGGTCAGTCCAATCTCTAATTGTTGATTTTCGACTTGTCACGCGCAGATACGAGCGTCCAAGCACCACGACCTACACTCGTGAACGCGAAGTGCGACGTTCCGAGCCTGAAACGCACAGAAGTTCCCGAGACACCCACACGCGATACAACGAAAGCTTCAAGCCTCCGGGCTCTAGTACGCCACGTGAGTATAATAAATCGTACACGTACGAGAAATGCCACTACCGCAAAGTACTAAAAACACAATATACGTAGACTTCCATCGCATTTCCTAGCCTTATAATCACCAACACTACTTCGACGATTATTTGTTTCTTTCTGCATGCAGAATATAAGCGTAACACAAAGGCTACGTTCGTTTTGGTGCTTACAACGCTCTGAGCATCATTTCATCCTTATCAAATATTAAACAAGGATAAATGACGCACTATAAACGACAAAACGAACGCAGCCTAAACAAGCACACAATCGTTATAAAAAAAAACTTACACAAAATCTCTGACAAACGCAAAAAGCGCACAACGGCTCGGTTATTTACTACATTGTAAGATACATATGATTCTGTTTTTGTTGATATCTTTTTACTTGAAATTATCGCCATTTATTAATAATGCACAGTTAAAATTGCAGTTTATGCTGTATATATATTTTTTTTTATTTGTGCCCATACGCCCAATAATTTCGAAAAACGAAATATATCTTTGTTAACATACGCGATACATTTAAAAGATCATAGAAGATCTAATGGCATGGTTCTTGTCACACTTAATTGAAAGGTGAAAAGTTAACATCGTCCAATTAGATTATATACGCGGTAATAATGAAGTTTATTCTCTTCATAATTTTCACATTTTACAACCTATCTCAATATAATATTTTTACTATAAAGTAAATGCTTCAGTTTGTGATTGTATGTTCAAAAGTACAAACAGGTTGTATATAAAAAAAACACAGAGAAAAGAACGAGAGGAGAGCTTCATTTTTATCTTTATTTCAAGTGCCAAACGCTTTTAAAGAATAAAATACTCTAGATAGAAATTAGATGCGTCGTTGAATTAATCAAACGAAAAAATAGAACAGAGTAACACAAAAGTCATACTTTTTATTTATTTCAATGATGTTATGTAAATTCATGTTGATCGTACAAGAGAAGGGCTATATTTTTTATAGAATATCTCAGCGCTTGCGTAATTTTTGTGATATATCGTGTACGCAAAAGTAACGAATTGTAAGAGTTATAATACGTAGATACGTGTTATGCCATATTATTTTTTTCGTAAAATGTAGAAACATGAAAATGCGTTATATATAATAAACAACTAAGTGACAAAGTGAGTATTTTCATGGATAATAATAGTGGTAAATGTTTAATTTTAATGTGCTTAAGTTTGTTATATTTTCTACGTTATAATTGAGTGTACAGTAGAATTTTGCATTAACAACAAAACGTGAAAAAGAAACACTTAAATGTTTTGTAGGGAAATCAATGGTTTCGATCGAAGTCGATCTGTAATTCTTTTTTATAAACCTCTCTGTATATGTTTTATTAATAAAAATTTGTATGATTTATCAATTTCTGTTGAGTTTCATTGTAGTTAGTTGAACCTGCTGTCGATCTTACAATTCAATTAAGCGGGATATAAAAGAGAGCAGTATTTTACAAAAGCTTTTTTGATCTTCTGCCAAATGTCATATGACACTCAACAGGAATATATACGAACTGTTACATATTTTTATTATAAAGCATATACGAACAAGCTGTAAAAAAAACTCGTTGTAATATACAACAGATTTGTGCACATGAGCTTTGTAGTTATCTTATTCCTCTCAATCTTTCTCTAGTCAACACACATTTCGATCATTTCTGTGTATCTCACACAACAGACGCGCACGTTACAGTTGTGATAATCTGAGAATTTCATTTGAACAGCCGTTGCCATTTACTCTTGTACATCGTTGTCGTGTCTCGATGTAGGTGAGGGTCGTTACGTGGAGAGCAACCGTACACCGAGTGGATGGCATTCAGGACCGACTTCCTCGAAGTCCTTTAACTCGGTAACTAGCAGCGGGTCGCGCGATCCTCGAAACGAACCTTCCAGCTGGAGTTCAAGATCGTCCGATAGCGTGAATAGGTGTGTTCTCTGATTTCAGCCGCTAACGTCTCCATACGCCAAATTCGGATGGACATACATTGTCACGTCTCGAACAATGTATCGAAATTGAGAAAATGATATAATTTCTTGAAAAGCCGAGAATACTGAAATTCGTATATCAAAACAATCTCCTAAATTGAGTACAACAAGAAAAGTATACGAAAAAAAAATGGTTAAATATTAAAAAGATTCTAACGCTACTCTCAATCAGTATTTTAATTATTAAAATCATTTAAAATAACTAAAAAATAAACATATTCGAGATGAAATTTATAAATATCATAATCGTTTTTATTTTAAATATGACAGAGTCACAAAAATTGCAAGATTCTCATTTGATGTCAATATCAATTGTAAGATATTTAGTTTAATTTAATTTAAATTGAATATGTACGTAGATGTTATATGAACGATCTGCAGGAGTCATAGTAGAGATCTCTCGAGAGAGCCGTGAAATAGGCAAAAACATTTGACCTTTTTTAATTAAAATACAGAGAGAATCAGTTTATATTTCTGATATTTGTAATCAGGAGAAACTTCCGCAGAAGGCTACAGAATTTTTTTTTTTTTTTTTTAAATTCGAAATAAAAATCGAACAAAATATTTTAAGGTTTCTGGCCTCTCGCATTATCTATCTCTTTTTTAATGACATCAGAAGCGAGAAAATGCATGCTAAAAATTCTTGCAAAATACGTAAAATAAATATATATATCCATAAAGTAACATTTGCAATCGATTAAGCAAATTTATAAGATATTCTGTACACTCTCCTTTTGCTCTAACAATAATTTGTCGTAAATTAATATGACATACAATTCATCTTCTTAACCTATTTCTTTCAGCTTATTTCTATTCAGATTAATTTACAATAAATTATTGATTGTTAGAGCAAAAGGGGAGTGCACGGAATATCTTACAAATTTGTTTAATTGATTGCAAGTGTTGTTTTATAAAAATAAAATATGCTCAAATGTTTATTTTATTATTATAATTTTTTAAACTTTTGCCTTACAAATACGTCAAAACAATTTTGTAGTGTCATAGAGATTCTATATATACGCGCATATATTCTATATATATTGCGCAGTATATATTTACAATTAGATATCTCGAATACGATAGATGAAAATTTTTGTTGATAGGTGAAATTTTTGTTACATATTGTTAGTTCAATTAACTTTTGTATCACATTATAAATTTATCTGTTATTTGATCAAGCGTTTAATAACAAGAGAACCTTATAATATCCCTGTACATTTACATTTTTACTGTTTTCGAAGTAATAATTCTCACTCGGAACAATTGTATGCTCCGGGAAAATTATATTACGGGACATTTATTTCGAGATTATGATTTTTTTTCTAGAAATTGTCCTGGTTTCCAAATTTCGAAATTTCTATTTTTCAAGACTATGCATATCCATATTATTATAATTTTTTAAACTTTTGCCTTATAAATACGTCAAAACAATTTTGTTGTGTCATAGAGATTCTATATATACTTGCGCAGTATATATTTACAATTAGATATCTCGAATACGATAGATGAAAATTTTTGTTGATAGGTGAAATTTTTGTTACATATTGTTAGTTCAATTAACTTTTGTATCACATTATAAATTTATCTGTTATTTGATCAAGCGTTTAATAACAAGAGAACCTTATAATATCCCTGTACATTTACATTTTTACTGTTTTCGAAGTAATAATTCTCTCTCGGAACAATTGTATGCTCCGGGAAAATTATATTACGGGACATTTATTTCGAGATTATGATTTTTTTTTCTAGAAATTGTCCTGGTTTCCAAATTTCGAAATTTCTATTTTTCAAGACTATGCATATCCACTCAGATTCATCAACGATAATTTACACGTAACTCCGTGCGTGTTGCAGATGGAGTAACTCAAGCAGCATGGGCAGCACTCTGCGGCACCCGATTCCGCCGACATATCAGAGCGGGCCGATTCAGTCGATGGGATTGACCGCTCCCGGAACGGCCCCGTCGTATGAACGGTTCGATGCGTACAAATCGTCCATGCCCATAAGGAAATATTGATCCGTTCGTTCGAGTTCGCACGATTGAGCGAGTCGTTTATTTGTGTAATCGTACATTGGCTACAGGACCCATAGAGTCAGAGTTCATCGTTTCTCAACAAGTTGATCGCGTCGTCGACACAACCTCGAACGCCAAGGTGTTGCTACATCACGACGATCTCGCGATTTATCGTCGCGAAACCAAGCAGTGTCCGTTCCTGATAAAAGTGCAGGAATTTCAGCCGTCGTTTAATTGATTCCCCGTACCCGCGGTCTCGAGTTTTACATCGATTACAGTTGTAGAAAAATAAGAGATAAGATGTGAAGTTTCGGCTTGTGCCGATTTGTGACGATCACTTTTACATCGTGTCGAATCATGTTATATAAGGCGCAATCGAGCGCGCATGTCTTTTGAGAAACATGCATGAAATTACTGAGTTATTTACGGGCGGTTATCCGCGCGTTGTGAACAAAACAAGGAGAAAGAAAGCATAAAGATATTACAGAAGAAGAGAGCAGTTGTCGCTCGCAGTTGTTGCTTCTCGCTCGTCGTTTACCTCTTCGCGGAGACACGTTTGCGACAACAATGTTTGTGAGACGTATTCTGCACACTCGTACGCAACGGACTTTTGTACATGTGTTAAATAGACTCCACTGTGCCCCATCAAAGAGAAAGAAGGTGGAAGAGAAAAAGATAGAGACATATACAACTTATTTTCCTATATCGGTTTCGTAAATTACGCGACGTCCGCGGTTTGATTTACGAGCGTTCATCGAGGCCTCGCCGGGTCCTCCCCTGCGCGCTCGATCAGCTGTTTTAGCTCGAAGTGCGGTTCTTCTTGACTCCGACTTTTCGAAACTACGAGATAACGAGGAGGCTCGCTGGACGGGTGCAGTTGTTCATACCACAAGTCAGAATGTCCCTTCTGGTGAAACGACGAAGACGATCGGCATCGTATCGTGTAATTTTATTTAGCTAACTGTAGTACGCATAGTTTATACACATAATTATATGATGGAATTTAAGCAAACTGCGTATCAATGTTCTAAGAAAAAAAAGGAAAAAAACATCTGTCTGAAATAAAATTTAGGTAATAACTACGGGCACTTTGTTTACTTTCTCTTTCTCCAACGATCTAGAAGAGAGAAAGGGAGAGAAAAGAAGAAACGCTCAGTGTGTCGACGCGAAGCGCCACTGCCGTGTGAGCGGACGGACTTCGGCCGTTTCGCAGATTTCCCCGGGAAGTCCCATCGATGAGAGAAAGAGAGAGAGAAAAACATGGTCTCGTCGTTCCGGCCGATTGCGGAACTGAAAACGACCGAAAGCGAATTACAACATCCGGCGCGCAGGACCTGGACGGAGCCGATGCGGACGACATTCCTGCGCGTCGTCATGACGAATCATCGTCAGGCGCGATGGAGGAGGAGGAGGAGGAGAAGCAGGAGCAGGAGAAGAAGACGACATAACACGGAGCATTGGCGGTGTCGAAGAAGCGGCGGTGGTAGGGAAACACACCAGCACTTTCCCTTGACGGCTTAGGGACGGCGCACGCAGGGAGAAAGAAGGAGAAAGAACGGGAGAGAGTGAACGAGCTAGCCGGTCTTCCGTCGAGAGTAAAGTGTGTCGAGGTCTTTTCACGGACAGTCGTCTCGTCGTGGTCCCGTCCGTCCGTCCATCCGTACGTGCGTGCGTGCGAGCAAACGACTGACCGATTGTACGACTCCGGCCACTTCTTTCCTCGACCAATTTGTGTCACTTTTCTTTCTTGCCGGGGTGTTGACGTCGTCTCGTGGTCGCCCGCGTATGCCCTCTTCCACCTCTCCGTCGATTGTCACTCTCGTTCTCTCTCTCTCTCTCTCTCCCTCTCTCTCTCTCCTTCTCTCACTTTCTGCTTCTTTCTCTCTTCCGCTCTCGACTGACAACACTATGCATAATCCACCGGCGTTCTCGTGATCGACAAAGCGACGACGACGACGACGCGCGCGGCCGACGACTCTCGCGCTCGGTTCAAATAGTTGCGGCGTCGCGCCGAGTGCCGCGGGTGTCACAGGTGACGAGCGCGCTGCCGGTGACAAACGCGGGTATGTCCGTGGTATAAAGTCCGTGCGCACCTCGACTCCTGTACTTGGTGAAGATGTCGTCGTTAGTGATACTGAGTAAGTGAACCATGACTGCGTCAACTACCGCGCGAGTGCTTGTAACGAAAAGCTAGAGAGAAAGTGTCGGGATCACAATATTAACAACGATCTCATCCTCGCTTTATTGTATTACTCCATTAGACGAGAGGCTTGTCCAGCACGTTCGTTAGATCCGCGATTGATCGGTCGAATAGTCGGCGCCGTGCGACAGTGACGATCGTTAGTCGATTATCGTCCGAGCGTGACTAGTAGTGCGGATTAGGTTTCAAAAGTGAAAACGATGCGATTGGTATGTTGGAGCCGCGCAGCTAAGAAAGCGATCGATCGATGCGCTTCTCCCGCGATCGTTCCTACGCACGCACGCGCGCGATCGCTTTCTAAATCTCATTCGAATCCGTTATCTTTTTTCGGTCTAGGAAACGTACGTGCTGTCCGTACATACATATGTAGAAGTCGCGGGGCCGCGACTCCAACATGGTTTATCTTGATTTGAGGCGCGAGCGCGGCGTCTCGCGCGGATTGAAAAGGTGGCCTCAATTACACGTTTATAAATTCTGCGCCTCCGTACGCGGTCCGATTCTCACTTTCTCGGGTTAGTCGCTTCACCGTCGCCAATTGTCTAATGATACGGCGTCTCGCCGTGACCTACTGACAAAACGAAAACGCCCGGCTTTTCTCATTACGCGCCATGAGAAGATCGCGATCAACGATTGTACGCTAATAACGCTCAAGCACCGTATCCCATGAATTAATCCCGATTCTCCGTCGCTTTTACTCGCCCAGCTTGCTTGTAGAGACTCGGCGGGCTCGTGGAATCGTCGATCTCGCATTGTCGGACTCGCTTCCTGATTTAGATAGCTGATAGTTGCGATGAACTCTGAGCGCGATTTCCGTCTCATTAACTCGCGTGACACACATTTGTGAATTAAAGAAGCGAAGGATCACTCACAGAAATCTCCTTCGGTGTACATTATTCTATTGTTAGGCGCGCGTCACTTTAATCCTGATCCTAATCTGAGCAACGTGAGTCGGACGCAAAATCCTCGTTAGTTTTGAACGAGAAAATCTCAGAGATTGATATTTTTGCTCTATTATTTGCTAGTATTTCTCTATTATTTAATCACCATTTAAAAAAGATAAACTCATTTTAAATATAGTTAACATTATATATATAATATTTATATATTATATTACAGTTCTATCATATTATATATCTGTTACTTATATACAATTTCTTAAACATGCAATCTTTAAATGACTGTGCCAAAATATGATTTTTCTATGATATCTGTACTTTGCGAAAAGAATCCAAAAAAAGAAATGATTGATATAAATTTTGACATTCATGTGAAAAATTACTGATATTTATTGATAGTAATTTTATCTCTATATATGGTTATATATAATTATGCTGTTGGTAAAATATGATTAAAGTAACTGTTTATGTTTGTAACAACTCATAATATCAATTTAATTGCATGATACTATTTTCCCTTCTTTTCATTTGATAGTATTTTTTCCGTGTGAGCATACATAATTACATATGAAACAAGATATATATACGAACAATAACTATACGAACAAACTATATAGAAACAAGATTTATATACGAATAATTAAAATTTTAACATTAAATGTATATACATATATTAAATATACATATATCCGAGAAAAAATTACATATTTAATTATATATGATTATATATAAATTACATATAAATTGTCCCTATATGGTTACATAGTCATATATGTCTGCACAGAAAAAAATATTGTTAAATAATATTGTTAAATAATTGTTAAAAAATATTGTTAAATAAAAATAAGAAAGGGACTAGTTTCATTCAATTAAACATCGACACTTTATGTACTGTCAGACGCATAAATATCTACTTCGATTGTATTTATATAATAGTATTTTTTTCATTGTAGACATATATAATTATGCATGATTATATATAACCACATAGACACAAAACTCATGTGTGATTTTTTCTCAGATACATATATTTTGTATTGTAAGTTTAAATATGCATAAAGTATGAAACAATAAGAATGTACAGGATTAGATATATATTCGAGAGAATTGGTACTTTTTTTGTCTTATATACAATTTCATATAATTAAATTCTTTATTTGCTCGGGAAACACCAATATCGATTTCTTCCAAGGTACAGATTCATCACCGACTGCGATTACATATGACATTTCCCTTGGAAAGATCAGAGCGAAAAACGTTTTTGGAAGTAGTTCGTCCCGATAAGATATTATAAAGTTCTGTGGCGCGCGATTCCGCCAGGCTCCATTCGGCTGCTTAAAGGCCGTAAAAGATACACATCCGGACGCGTGTTCTCCTTTTTTTTCCTCTACGCTACGTAGTGTCGCGAGCACGCGGATAAAGTCGGGGGGTTCGTATAGCACATGCATCACGCATACACCGAGCCTGTGGCATATCTGGGTTACCAGATATTGCGTGGGCACACACCACATATGCACACACCATATGCATACACACACACACGGGCGTAGGACACAAAGAGTCGAAAGCTCGAAAAGAGGCGCGTCTTTACTCGCCACGAAATGATTCAGGCAAAATATCTACGTTGAAAAAAAGACTGGTATTATTACCAAATGTATTTACAGAGTAAATGTAATTACAGAATTTAAATAAAAATATATTCGATAACTAGTACCAGATATCATAATAATGACCAAATGCATTGTAGATTTGATGTACAAAGAACTTTATAATTACAGTCAAGTAGACTATAGATTTGAGTAATAGCTATCAAATATTTAACATCTGCTATCAAGTGTTCGATGACTACTATCGAATAATATTTGATAAGTATTATGAAAGCATTCAATTCTATTTGACGAAATACTTGGTGACTATTAAGGCTCCTAGTTTCTCGCGTTGTCTATCTCTTTTTAATGACGTAAGAAACGAGAAAATGCATGCTAAAAATTCTTGCAAAATACTTTAAAATAAAAATATATATCTATAAAGTAACATTTGCAATCGATTAAACAAATTTGTAAGATATTCCGTACACATTCCTTTTGCTCTAACTCTCTAAATAAAATCTCTCTCTCTCTTGCTCTAAATAAAATAATTTATTGTAAATTAACCTGAATAGAAATAGACGAAAAAATAAATTAAGAAGATGAATTGTATGTCACGTTAATTTACATCACGATAAATTATTAATTGTTAGAACAAAAGGAGAATGCACGGAATATTTTATAAATTTTTTTAATCGATTGCAAGTGTTACTTTATGGATATATATTTTTATTTTAACGTATTTTGCCAGAATTTTTAGCATGTATTTTCTCGCTTCTGACGTCATTAAAAAGAGATAGATAATGCGAAGGATTAAGAGCCTTAATATTTATCTTGTTAAAGCTACGAAATATTTGATGATTATCAATTGTACTTATATTAATATATATATATATCACTTATTGATATTATTTGTTAATAAATATGGTATATTTCTACCTTTCTTGAAAGTTACAAGGATATGTTATAAACGTGAATACAAAGATGCCGTCATAGTTCATAGGACTTACCAGTCTCTGTTTGATTATGAAAGTAAAACATCGGGTGAGTGGGCCTGAGAAAGCATGGGTAATTGCTGCACAGCATCGAATAAAATCACAAACGGAACTTCACGTCTGAAACGATAAAAAACGTCGATGTAAAAAATAAAAAATATAAATGCTTAAAATAGATTTAATAGTACGATGAGGTTTTTTGAGTAAAATAAAAAGTTACCTAAAATAATTTTCTTTTCTCTCTGGCACAAGCTTTAGTAATAATTAACAAATATCTCATTCTGCTGCCAAAATTTTGTATTAACTTCCAGAACTTAGTTTGATGATGTAAATGTATAGTTCAAGCAATTAAATCTTGGTTCTAAAAATTATGTATTTACTTTATATAATTATTTTCTGAGTTATTTATTAAATATATTAATATAATTTTCTAAATATATTTATATAATTATTTCCTTAAGACTCTTGGTCCCTCGCATTGTCTATCTCTTTTAATGATATTAAAAGCAAGAAAATGCATGCTAAAAATTCTTGCGAAATACATTGAAATAAAAATATATATTCATAAAATAACACTTGCAATCGATTAAACAAATTTGTAAAATATTCCATGCATTCCTCTTTTGCTCTAACAATCAATAATTTGTCGTAAATTAACGTGACATACAATTCATCTTCTTAACCTATTTCTTCATCTATTTCTACTCAGGTAAATTTACAATAAATTATTGATTATTAAAGCAAAGGGGAATGCATGGAATATCTTTAATTGTATATATAATAATGTTTAATTGCAAATGTTACTTTATGGATATATATTTTTATTTTAACATATTTCGCAAGAATTTTTAGCATACATTTTCTTGTTTCTAACGAGCTTCTAAAAAGAGATAGATAATGCGAGAAGCCAGGAGCCTTAATTATTTCCTAATTATCATTTTATATTTGGCTCGTATTATTTTAAATATTATTTAAATAATTTAGCAACAACTTTTGGTACTTGTTACAAAATCCTTTCAATATAGGAGTAATAGGCTTGACACCTTCCATACAATGTTGTGGAATATTACGTGGAATGTTGTCAATTTGCCTACTAAGTATCCTAAGATCATGTGACTAGTTTCAAAATAATTTTCCTTAACAAAAATAATTGAAGACGATCTTTCTAATTTTTAACACTACATTTTTCCTGATTTTATTTTAAAATATTGAATTATTTCATTATTCCATTTTTTAATTTATTAATTCGATTTCTAAGTGAAATTACTGATTTTTATTTCTAATTGAAATTATTTTGTAATTGAAACTAGAATTCGCATGAAAACTGCAAAACACTCTTCATCCAATATCTTCCTCGAAGCTTGTTTTGCCAAAAGCTCTCCTTATCTTCAATTGTCATTTAACCAAAGATCTATTAAAAGATTCACAAGAAGAATTTTTGATGAAGCCAAAACATACCTG